AATATTTTTTCTTTTTTGGTGCAACCAGGAATTGAACTCAGGCCCTTGTGCTGGCCAGGGAAGCACTTATTCCACTGAGCCATCTCCCCATCCCTGCCCCAAGATTGTAAATATTTTTAAATTTCTTCTTTTTTTTTTTCTCCAAATGCCTTCAGGGCAGGTTTGGCTGGCTTGAGTTGTGGGGATTGAACCACAACAACCTGAGCCTAACTGCTTTGTTGAAGCAGCCACTTAAAGAACTGAGCTAAGGGGCAGGCCCCCCTTAAATTTCTTCTTTAGTTTCATCTGTGACCCACTGGTTGTTTAAGGAGGTTATTATTTCCACATTTTTATGGTGCTATAATTTTTATGTCAATAATTTCCAGTTTTATGGCACTGTGATCAGATAGTATGCATGGGATAATTTAAATTCCTTTGCATTTACTTAAGAATGCTTTGTGTGCTAGTACATGGTCTATTTTGGAGAATGTCCCATGTGCATTTGAGAAGAATATGTATTCTGCTGTTGCTGGGTGAAACACTCTATAAAGGTCCACCAAGTCAATTTCTTCACAAGTTTGGATTAGTTCTATTATTTATTTGCTAATTTTTTGCCTAGTTGATCTATCTCTTTGTGACAGTGGCATGTTAAAGTCCCCCATTGCTACTGTATTATTTATTGTACATTTGATTTTTCATGTCTGATAAAATCTGTCTTATGTAGGAGGGTGTTCCTACATTGGGTGCATATATATTTATAATTTTTATCTCTTCCTCTTGCAGTTTTCCCTTAACAAGTATGTAATGACCTTCTTTATCTCTTTGAATGATTTTTGGTTTGAAGTTGATATTGTTGGCAACCAGGATAGCTACTCATGATTTTTTCTCATTTCCTGAGGAATGGAGGATTATTTTCCATCCTTTTGACTTAGTCTGCCAATTTCCTTTTGAGTTGAATGTGTTTCTTGTATGAAGCACATTGTTGGATTTTGTTTCTTAATCCAGTCTGCTGGTCTGTTTCTTTTGATTAGTGAACTGAAGCTATTTACATTGATGGCTATAACTGATACATATTGGCTTATATTTGTCTTGTTATTTTCCTGCTATAGGTTCTGGAATTTTCCCTTCTTTTTAATTACTTGCTCTGATTGGTGGTTCCTTTTTGTTGTTCTTGAAACTGTGATCACTTCTGTCTCTTTGTAGAATATCTGTCATACTCTCTGTAGGACGGTTTGGTAGTCATAAATTTCTTTAATTGTTCTTTGTCATGGAAGGATCTTATTTTGCCATTGAATTGATAGTATTGCAAGGTACATCTATCTGGGTTGGAAGTTATTTTCTCTCAGGACCTGAAATACTTTACTCCAAGCTCTTCTTGATTTGATGGTTTGTGTTGAGAAATCTGCTGTGATTCTGATGGGCTTTTCATTGTAGGAGATCTGTTTCTTCTCTCCAGCAGCTTTTAATATTCTATTCTTTTGCTGAATTTCTGAGATCTTGATTATTATGTAGTTAGGTGTAGATTTACTGTGATTATGGCCATGCAGAGTTATATATCTGTTTATCTGTATGTCAGGTTCTTTTCTCATGTTTAGAAAATTTTCTGCTAATACTTCTGCAAATAGTCTTTTTATGATGTCATTTGTGCTGTCTCCCACTGCTTCACTGACACCTATAATTCTTGTATTATTTTTCTTTGCATTGTATTGTAGCTGCTGAATTGTTCTTTGCTGGTCCTTGTTAGTTCTAAGAGATCTTTTATTTCACACTCATTAGCTGCAACACTGTCTTCAGGGTCTCAATGTCTATCTTCAGTTTCATTCAAGCAATTCTGCCAGCTTTCGATGGAGTTCTTAATATCCTGGATATCTGTTTGATACATTCTAAGTCTTTATTGTTCTTTCAGTGTTTCCATCATTTTTCTATCCTTTTCTATTTTTCTATCTATGTCTTCTTTAGCTGTACTGAGCAATTCTTTCACGATTGTTGTCCTTTCTTTTTGGACCTGAGAGATTATTTCTGCTCTTATTTCTTTTATAGCCTGATGGACCTATTTCTTTACTTCAGTTGCTACCATTTCAGAGATTTCAGGTGTGTGATTTCCAAGTTCTTGTATGTCTTTGTCTCCTGGATTTGTTCAGGGTGGGCTAGATGATTGACACTGCCTTTTGCTCCTCCATTTTGGCATTTTTGAAGCTCCCCGTAATCACCAGATAGAGTCCTGTAGGCTGCTCAGAGTCTGCCGGAGTTGTTAAATGGCTCCAAGAAAGCTCTGAGACTGCTTGCGCTGGGCCCACAGATTGCAACTCTTCTGTATCCTGCAGGCCATTCAGAGTTCTCCTAAGTTCTTAAAAGTTTGGACTGGCACCAGCAGAAGCTCCATACATGTGCACTGGGGGGCTAAGGAAGGTTAGAGATTCCCAGAGTCCCACAGGCTTCCCAGAGTCTGCCAAAGTTCTTAGGTGGGGCCAAGAAAGCTCCAATAAGTCAGCTTTGTAATCATCAGTGTGAGACTGGAGCCAAGGACACACATCAGGAAAGGTGAAGAGGAGGTCATAGGCAGGAGAGGACCAGCTGCTATCAGGCTCTCAGGGCACATATATTCAAAATAAAGAGTATGTACCAATCTTCCCCAAGACTCTTGTATATGATGGTACCTGTTTCCTTATGTTGTGTTATCAAACTTTTTGTCTTTACCAATCTGAATTGATGGAAAATGACACACAATTGTAGCTTTAATTTATATTAAGAAAGGCTTGTTCTTAGTATGAAGAAAGCTAAGTGTTAGAGCTCTATGTCCATATGTTCATCTCTGTTTTTTCTTTTATTTTCTGAGATAAGGCCTCGCTTCTTACCCAGGCTGACCTTGAACTCAAGAGTTCCTGTCTCACTCTCCCAAGTGCTGTGATTACAAACATGCACCACCACACCAGGCAAATTCATTTAGTTTCTTCCTGAGACATACATTTAGATTACATTTCTGAGTCTTCCTAGCAGTTTGTTGTGATGAAATAAAATGGATTTCATTTTCTTTTCTTTTCTTTCTTTCTTTCTTTTTTTGTTTTTTGTTTTTTTGTTTTTTTGGTGGTACTGGGGATTGAACTCAGGACCTTGTGCTTGCCAGGCAAGTGCTTATTCCACTGAGCTATCTCCCCAGCCCTCATTTTATTTTCTATGTGAAAGTAATGACATATAAGAATTTATATAAAATATCTAGAGTTACTTACCTAACATATAAAGCATTTTCTTCAATTGTTTAGAACCAGGGCCATCTTTCAAGTATTTGCTTCCAAGCTCATTTTTCTTTCTTTTTATTCTTTTCTTTCTTTCTTTTTTGTACAGGGTCTCACTACACAGACCAGACTCGTAGTGATTCTCCTGATTTTTGCCTCCCAAGCGCTGGGATTATAGGCACATGCCACCATGCCTGGACTCCATCACTGGCTCAGCACACCCGGGGGTGGGGCTGGCATGGCATCTAAGTTCATTTTTCTATTGTTACTGATCTTTGACCCTTTTTACTAAGGTTTATGTAATTCATAGTGATTTCTAGGGGCTTTTTATGAGGAAAATAGTCCTTGTGTTATTCTTCCCAGTTTATTTGTCTGTTACTATACAGAACATTTTGATTTTTTTTTCAAATCAAATCAGTAGGACAGTTTCAATAATTAACACACTGCATACATTCTTCTTAGTGAAGATTTTGATTTTTATTTAGCTGAATTTTCTAGTCTTTTCCTTTATTTTGGCTTTGTATCATATGTAATTTTTTTTTTACTTTGAGATTTCTTTTCATTGTTTTAATATAATAGTAATAAACTACTTCGAAAGTTTAGTCAGTAGAAAAAGAAAACACTGAAATAGCCCAATTCTACGACTAACACAGTATTAACTTTCTAGCTTATTTCTTCTGCATGATATTGTGCCTTCTTTTCATAGTAAAAGCTTACTTTTCCTTGTATAATCTTTGGCAGATGGGCCACAAATTTTTTGCCATCTCATTTACATATGAGAAAATCCTCTCCTCCCTCCACACTGCAGCAGGTTTTCTTTTCTTTTGAGACAGAGTCTCACTACACAGTTCAGCATGGCCTTGAACTCACTTTCCAGTGCAGGCCATCCTTGAACTCAAAGCAATCCTCTTGCCTCAGCCTCCCATGTGCTGGGATTACAGGCATGTGCCACAATGCCTGGCCTGCATCATGATTTCAAATTTAAGAAGCAACTGCCTGTTGACTGTTCACAAAATCCCTCACAAGGAAAGGACTAGGGCACTGGAATGTGGCCTGCTCAGGTCTCTCAGGCAACCAGTGGAAACTCTAGTTCCAGAAGACTGAAATGTCAGCCACACTCTTGTCCTTGGCCACCACACGCAGAAATCCACCAAGATCAGGGTAACTGTCTTTGGGGCTCAGTGAGGACACTGCAGAGAAGTGCACCTAAAACTAGACAGCTTCCAATAACACCAAAGTTGCATTTCCTGAGGTTTCTCATGCCCTATTACTAAAATGGAGGCATGTAAGTAGGAGATAATTTCCCTTGACTAGCATAAAGACCTAGTAAGACTGCACCCATTTCTCTTGTCTTACCTGCTCCCTCTCCTTATGTTACTCGGTTTCAATCTCCCACAACTACAGAACTCTCAGCAGTCCCTATACTATCTCATCATTTCTAGCAGCCACAACTCTGGCTGTAGCTGTCCACTTTCCCCTGGGCCAGCTTTCCTCCAGTAACTCTTCCTGGAGTCTTCTGCCCATCTTTCCACGTTCAGCTGAGTGTTGCACCCTCCAGAGATCGTTCCTTCCAAGGCTGCATTAACTGCTCACATCTGGGCTCTCCACCACATGGTCAAGCAGCTTTGCATGGGCTCTCTTTCTCTCTAGGTTCCACAGGCTTTGGGGCAGAAAGTGTTTCTGAACTCACCTTTATGTGTTCACTGTTTGGCACATGCATAGCATCTGCCTTATAAATTCTGATCTTTACTTGACAAAAAGAAAAAAGTAAGCAGCCTTTTGACTTACCTTTGATTTTTTTGGCAGGGGTTAGGATTACAAGGATCCTTTGAAATGCATGACCCAAACTCAAACTGACGGTCCTGGAGCCCCACACAGCGGGCAATGCAGACACTGGGATAAGTGCGTCCATTCTGTGCACACACAGGGACAAACTCATCGGCACAGTTACAAGGCAGACCTGAAAGGAGGAAACACACTCAAAAATATGTGTGCATATGCTTCCTCTCTCCTCCCTGGGTCTTACAAAGGCAGCCATTAACAGTCACATATAGGGCACACACTATTTTCTCTGAATGTATATCTCTTCAATTCTGTCTAATAAAACTTTTTTTTTTTTTTTTTTGGTGCTCTAAACAATTTCTTTAACTGAAATGGACTTATATTTGTTTTTCAAGTGACTTCCATTTATTTTTGATACATCTTTTCCCCATGGTGACTTACAGGATCTTCAAGCCAATATAAATA